AGATATCTCAACGAAATTTGGTACGCAGGTGTCCATTTACCCAAGGTAGGTTGGTATTGAAAATGGGCGAAATCGGACTGTAACCACGCCCACTTCCCATATAACGGTAATTTNTCGAGATAGATATAGACAAATGTATACATAAATGATCAGAATGAAAAGAGAAATCGATTAAGCCATGTCTGTCTGTCCGTCCGTCTGTCCGTCTGCCCGTCCGTCCGTGTACACGATTACTCGAGGAAAAATTGAGATATCTCAACGAAATTTGGTACGCAGGTGTCCATTTACCCAAGGTAGGTTGGTATTGAAAATGGGCGAAATCGGACTGTAACCACGCCCACTTCCCATATAACAGTAATTTTCAGAAATACGAAAACTGTGATAGTTTAGAAAATACTGGAGATTATTCACTCAAAATTGATATTTACAATAACTTTTAGACGAAAAATAAGAATATTATAAATTTTTGGAAAGTGGGCGTAGCCCATAAATCGATAAATGAGTAAATATTAAAGCTAATTTATTCAAAATTGATGCTTACAATAATTCTTAACCAAGAAATACGTTTATGGTAAAATTTTGGAAAATCGGTGTGGCACCGCCCACTTATGTAACTCGGTAACCGTTCTACCAATTTGTACCAAGCTCGGTATGGTTATTGCGCCTGCAACATAGAAGCAAAGCGTTGAAAATTATTGAAATCGGACTAAAATTGAGGCCGCTTTTCATATAATGGTAAATTTCAGAACTGCTTGAAACTTCACAATTTCGAAATTTAAGGACTCTAATTTATAGTGTGTTATAGTGTTCTTTTCTCAAAAAAAGTTCGTGCCTTTTATATGTGAACTCTTGCTTTGCGTTGCCCTGAAACCTCAGAAANATGAAAAATATATATTTAATACTTGCGCCGTGTTTTTAATGTTCGGCTCCGCCCGAACTTAGACTTTCTTACTTGTTTTCTATATATTTATTTTCGTTTACATTTATAATTTTCTTCATCTACATACAAATTCCCTTTCACCTTTGCTTTTATATAAGTAAAGTGTTTAAATTTACCTTGGCCGTCATTTTTGCCTTTATCTTTAGGTATCTTTGTTTTTGTTTTTATTTTTACCTTTGCCTTTATCTATGTACGTACTAACCTTTACTTTCATTCTTGTATTGGTCTTTTTCTAAGTGTTATTCTTTAACCTTTTATTAGAAAGTTTTTGTTTCCTTGCACCTTTTCCGTTGAATTTGCCAATTTACTCCCAACCACCCAACCGACGCTAGAGAGGTTCACTTCAAAAATCTAACCTCTCTAAAGCGCCCTAGTACTTATTGCGTTCTGAGCTTACCCAGCTTCGATTATAACTCGATAAAACGTTTCCAGTTCCACACGTACCTGCTCCTTGCTGCCAAGAGATGGGGAGCGCCAAATCATTACTTGATGAGTCTGGAGTGATCGTCCAATTGGATAGGGCCCTTTTGGCCACCTGGCTGTCTCAAAAGATAGCTAGAAATACGCCTTTCAAACCTTTTTCAAGGTTGAAACTAATTGAGATTGGTAGAACCTCGACCCGATTGACTAATTAGGCTTAGTACAAATATATTTTTGTTAATTTTGCACGCAATGCCACCAATTTCTAGGACAATTTGACGCATTTCATGCTGTACGCAACCGAAACAAATATATATGTATTTATGTATGTAAATCCAAAATCGCCAGAGTACGCAGGAAAATGTGCAAAAGTAATGAAAAGCGTAAAATGTTCCTGTGTATGTACACATGTATGCATGTTTAAATGTATGAAAGTCATCTCGAAGCCAAATGCTAAATCAACAAATACAAAAACTGCCCAAACTAGCAAATCGTGCAAAGGATACAAATGTTAGCAGCCCTTTAGGGGATTATGCACAACAATAAATGCAATAAACGACAACAATACCTACCAACAATTTGCGAACACACAAACACATCGTAACCTACGAATACTATCTATGTTCAGCTTGTTTGAACTCTTCCTCGAATATGTTTGTGCATTTCTGTACGTTTGCGCCAACCACTTTCGAACAATTACATCGAGTGGCATTTTTAATTTATGTCGCCATTAAATTGCACTGAGTGTCAGTAAATTAACGTCAATACATATGACACGTGCAAACACACACACATCCATCTGAGAACTGTGCCAGCCGAAAATTTGAAGCAGTTTTTTTGGTTTTGTTTGGGCAACAATATGGAAGGATTTGTGTGCATATGTATTTATGTATGTGCGAGTGTTTGTAATTGTTCCGCGTTGCAGTGTGCAGGCGTGTTTGTATTGACGTCCTAAACCGCATCACATCACATCAACGTCACTGTTATTAACATCAAAATTGAAATTTCGAATCAATGCCAGTCGATCAATATGGTGGGGACAAACTGATTGGCTACACACTCTCGATGTGTGTGTGGTCAGCAATATAATGCGAAAACTTTAATTTAATTTAATTTTTTTAAATAAAAAACATTTTTTTTTTTATTAGAGATACCTCTATTGGCAAAAAAAGTGTAAACAAAAATTGTATATAATTTTCTGAGCCTCAATACAAAATCTATTCACTCAAAAGTATCTAAATACATACATATATATAAATATTTACGACCTCCTTGATACGTATTTCTCAGCTTTTGAATTTGGAAATCCTTCTGTTTGGCATTTCTTTCACCACAATTGTACATAGCTTGTGGTTACAAGAACTTAAAGCTGTACAAGTAGTCGATTGTGGTATTTGCGGTTATGTTACCAAAATTAAGCTGACCGCAATAGGAATTCACATTCATATACCCATACAGGGTGATTCAATAAGACCGCATAATTTCTTTTATAAATAAAATACAACAAAATTTGTGAAATGGTTTTCTTACTTCATTTTTTTTTTTGTCTATGGCATTTATGTATGAAATATGATGCCCACTACTATTCCTCTGGCAACACTGGAATCGTCTCGGACTTATTAAGTATTAACCATACTTTTCAGGTAGTCCCAGAAAAAGAAGTCCAGCGCATTATGGCGTCAATTTTACCAAAAGGCAGGGTTTTTGAAGGCCTGTTGCTCTCATGAAAAACTAAAAATTGATATGAAATAACGCACAAGAAGTGAAAAAGAAATTTACTTTTATCGAAATTTCATAAATCATTATGCAGCTCGTAAGAACTTTTCCTAGAAACAGAAATAATGAAAAGCTAAAAAAGGAAAACCATCGCAATTCAAATGACTTGTTTTTGCAGGAGAATTGGTTTGGGCTGTGTTACAAATTGCTTTAAAAATCTCCTTATCTGTGTCAAAATTTTTCTTCTCGTTCAAGTAGATTGAAGAAAATGCCTGACACAATATTTCCCTACATTATATTCATCTAAATAATTCTAGATTGTTGCAACTAACAAATTTTAATTCTTTGAACTATGTACATATGTTTGAAAAAAAAAGAATAGCAGAAAATGTTTTCAGTGTACAACGCAAAAAAAAAATCATCACTGTGAAATTTTCGGCCGCATCGAATTCAAGAAAGCGCCACATACAAATGTAGTAGTCCGGGAACAAATCCTCCAAGGAACGTATTTCCTAATTGCAGTTGCTTTTTGTTCTACATTCGGCCTACTACCCACTCATGTCGCCTTAAACACTTATTTAAGTGTGTTTGTATTGCATTTTGCAAAGTCAATTGATACTACCAACTTATGACTACATACATACATACTCTTCACCAATCCCCCTCCTCGCCAAAAGAATTTCAGACGACATTCGAGTAGATGCCGGAAAACCATTTGGTGTTGGTCATACTTGTGGTTTCAAATGCTACAAATCAATGTGACTGGTTGTTTTTGTAATTACCAATGGTTTTTGTTGTTGCAATACAGACATACACGTGCAGAAACACAGGCATACACACACACACATATCCACTTGTCTAGCATAAATTGTCTGTGACTTGAGCTATAACGCGGGTAGTTTCAAATAACAACCAACTGACCACCAGCTGGCAGTTACCAGCAACAAAAACAATAACAACAACTAAAGTCAAGCAATTGCGAATACGATTTAAAATACATACATACATACTACGTTTATATTTAACAATAGCTGGCATACATATTTTGGGGGTATCAAAACGCTGGAGTCAATTTGCAACACCACAAATGTATAATCTACCACTGCCAGACTAAAGGCACACCACATTCGGGTGCAGTTGGAAGCCAGAATGTATTCTCCAAATTTGAAACGACTAAATGGATTTAGTTGTTACTTGCAACGCCGGCTAGCGGCAAACATAGTGTGTATGAAGATGAGAGCAGGGAGAGAAAAGAAGGAGTTGAGTTGGAAATTTACACTTGCATGTGAATGTATGTATGTATCTGTGCGTGTGGCCAAATTAAACCACTCTTCAGCAAGTGGGCGCAATTGTTGTTGTTGCCATTGTTATTGTTGCTCTACTGTTGTTCTTTTTATTGTTGCTACCGAGCATGCATGGTGTTGCATATTCTATCGTCTGCCTGCTACACTCAATTGTGGTCTTGTACTTTGTATGCCACATGCGTTATGGACAATTAATTGTGCTTCTACTGCCAGTTTTACACCAACACAAATGGCAGCTCATACACATATGTACATATGTATGTAGTACAGGACGCACGTGAACATTCTTCTTTTTTTCTCGTACCTACTGGATGCATGTATCGTTTGTGGCAATCAATCTATGCTCGTTTGAGAGCATTTTATAACTTTGCATGTATAACCAAATGATTTAGTGTTACTACAGACAATTTCGTGCACACATTGCATATGTAAATGCATATAAATACATATGTATGTATGTTTATTTAAGTATGTAGATATGTATGTGCTCTTCCTTTATACACTCACATGCATTCATATGTAGTCCTTTTTATTGCCACTTTTATATAAATTTTTGCTAGTAGATACAATTTATGACAATAACAAAATTTTATTTTCAATTCACCCTTTTTGCAGCTGCAACATTTACAAAAACAAAGCGCATAGTAGCATATACGCTTGGCAAGCGACGTGTAACAGTATTGGCCGCAAAATGTTACCCATCATCATTGCGTTATTTCTTTGCATTGGACTACTACCGGCAGCTTGGTGTATCGATGGTCTTCAAGGACAATCTATTAAGGGTAAGTTTTGTGAATTGATTTCAGAATGCTACTTGGCGGTAATAATTGTAAGTTTAAAAGCAATAAAGTGCAAATCATTTCGCAATCCTAATTATTATCAAAAGACTTTTATAACATAAGTCTCAAAATAAAAGTCTTTGAGGACTTCAAAATATTTATCTCCTGATAATTTTTATGAAATGACTTCTATTATATATGTATCTAAGTCTTAAAATACAAAAATATACACAATGGACACGATCGTCTGCCTGGCTACAGTGTAATTGCTTGTGTTTGGGCCTAATATATTTAGCCTTCACTGTAGCAACTCAATGAAGCTTTCGCTACCAATAAAAAACTGTTGCATGATTTTAGGCGCTGCATATTGTTAGTACGTACAGTTACGGCAATCAATACATTTAACCAAATTTAAAGGCATCGAAAAAAATGCCAAACTTTGTAGTAAAAAATATACAAAAAACATTTACACAAATAATTGTAACTGCAATTCCAAATTATACAAGCCATTCTTGCAATTCAACTTTTGCAGCTTTCAATGGAATTGTTAACTTTTTACGCCAAGTTTTTTTTGCTATAGATATCTACTAATTTTTTATTGCCTCCAACAGAGCGAACAGGGCTGTCTATAACAATCAATTTGTTGGCGGTGAAATGTTAATTGCGTTTTCTTTTTTTTTGCCATTCGACGGTGAAATATTTGTGCATTTTAAAACATAAATATCTACATACATATTTTACAATGTGGAATTTTTATGATTTTAAGCAATTTCCCCAAAAAAAATTTTTTTTCTTCAACCATCCACAGATGCTTTTGGTGAATTCTCACTCACGGACATGATTAGCGTGCATTCGCAAGGCATCGAATACGAGGAGGCCGATGATGGTTTCCCCTCCTACAAGTTCTTTCCCACATCGGATGTGAAGACATCCTATCGCGTCTTATTGCCGGAGAAACTCTACGAATTTGCAATCCTCGTCAAATTCTTACCCAACAGTCCCAAGGGCGGCTATTTATTTAGCGTGGTGAATCCTTTGGATACGGTGGTTCAATTGGGCTTACATCTATCGCCTGTCATTAAAAATATGTGGAACGTTTCGCTGCTCTACACGCAGTCAGATCAAAATAGCGTCAGTCGGAAATTGGTCAGCTATCAGTTGCCGTATAGGGGCAAGGAGTGGACAACACTTTCTTTTCAGGTACTCAGCGACAAGGTGCTCTTCTACTACGACTGTGAATTGAATGAAACCACATCGGTGGTGAGGGAACCGCAGGAATTGGTCTTCGATTCAGCATCGACTTTATATTTAGCACAAGCAGGTCTCATATTAACCGGGCACTTCGAGGTAAGTGATTTTGGATGCGATTTAATATTTTTTTATTGTTATTGTCATAACAGTTTATTTACGTATGTGCATATCAGCCTTTTGGGAAAGTACACATGCGGGAAATGATTTCATAAATATTTTCAATTGAAAAAGTTGTTTTTTTTTGATAAATTGTATTAAGTAATCTACGCAAACAATTTGGTATAAGCACTTAGCTTAATTACTGAATTGTTGATAAAAGATACATAAGTATATATGTATGAGCAACAAAAGGTTGATCACTAAAATCGTATTTTACTAATGCTGTGCAATAAATGTGATAACAGAAAGCGGGATATATTTGCAAAACGTCTGGTCACTTGGTAATAAAAAGCTTAAAAGAAAAAAAAATATATTTGAAATTAATTAGTGTTCTAGTTATAAATCTACATACAGTGAAAGCTCCAATAAGCGGACACCGATGGTGACCTATTTTTTGTCCGCCTATGGGTGACGTCCGCTTATGGGAATTTCGTAATAAATTATCTTAAAGTTCAAATTTAAAAAAATTGAAATTGCGGTTTCCTAAATGAAATAATACTTATCTATCCTTGAATCGATAAAAACAGAATGAATGGTAAATAAATACAAATTTATGGCGTTCTATTTTCTACCGACAAATTTCATTTATCGATAGTTATTCACTTACTGAAATTGGTCGATTTATCGAATTGATGTATTTGGAATATTCAAGATAAATCGAATTGTTGAAATTTCAAGGTCTATCGAGTTATCACTGCTTATCGAAATTTATCGTGTTACCAGAGTGTAACGAGTTATCGAAATTTATCAATAGTTTTCGAAAAATATGGAGCTATCAATATTAACGGAGTTATCGAAATTTATAGAGGTATCCAAATTTTATTGAGCTATCGATTTATTTCGAGTTATATACTTTTTGGGTTATCGAAATTTATCAAGCCTTCGAAACGCACAGTTATCGAAAAAGTCGAGTTATCGGAATTTAGTATTTTTGAAATTCATCGATATGTATAAAATTATTGATATTTATCGACAAACTTGAAGTCCTTCAAAGACATAAAAAAAAGTTGTAGTCACGTTTTAGTTCCAAAGCAGGAGATTATCCCGTAAGTGATTTTGTACCTTATAAGTTAAACGACGTTCTAGAGGAAAATGTATGTACATATGTAATAAAAAATAACACAAAGTATTAGCTATGAGAAGAATTTAAAAAAGTGCATCTTAATAATAATTTGCTTTAAGCAAAAACAGCTTTTCAAAATTGGAATCGCTTAGCTTGTTCCTTCGGGGAGCGTCCACTATTCCACTAAATGAAAACAAACGCTCTCATGGAGCAGAAGAAGGCAAAGGCGTGTTGAATTTTATAAATATTTGCCTTATGTTGGGATATTTCTTAAGAGAACTCATATTCGTCTGCGCATCCAACAGAAATGTGTCCAGTTCGTTTTGAATGCCGTCTTTGTGTAGTAAATAGTGTTGAAGGACCTGATATGAAAGGTATTAAAAAACAATTATTTCACTACCGTTACCGTAGTTTATGCGATAAATAAATTTTCAGAAAGATAAATAACAGATCACTATTCAATTTTTCTATTTTCGCTTTGACTAGGTTGTAAATTTACACCTTTGAAAATTAGGCCAGTCAGCAAAAAATTCTCAAAAATCAACGTGAAGCTTTAGACATTTGGAATTTGCCCTCAACCCTATAAGGCAGCTAGGTTTCATATCAGTGCTGATATCATCATTATCGCTAATAATAAAAGAGCTTATTAAAGTCCTCATTTTCGTTCAGGCCATGGCCAAAAATTGAGTACTTTCCCCTCAATGTTGTCATCAGAAAGTCCTCAGGACTAATAGTCAAATTACTCATTTATGCTATGCTACAAAAACAAAAGTGTGAATGTGTTTGCTAATTTTCGCAAGGATCAGAATTTTTAGGTAGGTATGTGTAACTTTGAGCGTCTTATTGACTGCTGTCACAAGTTCTTATTTTAGTATTACGGTGAGGAACTTTTAAACTCCCACTTAAGCTTTTCACCACCCGTGCTTCCGCTATGAAGAGCGAAGCTATTTGCTCATAGCAACAACAGCGCCGAAAAACACCAAAGCGGATATAAAAATGTATTTTTGTAATGACTACAATTTTGCAATACAGAAAATAATGGGTGGAATGTCAATTGAGTAAAAGCGAGAAGAAGAAATAAGAGCTAAGGAAAAATGAGTGCTCTTCCTAGTATGCGACCTACTGAGGGTGAGTTTTAAATATACTTATATGTACTTACTTTATAATAAAACCACCACTTTTTACTTAGAAAAAAAAAACTGGCTTGGGGGTTGCTACCGCTAGATGACGCTAAAAACACTAGGCACTGTAGTAGAGAATTTGAGTGAAATCACTATAACGCGTTTAAGGGAAAGTATTTTTTATGAAGTGCCAGTGAGAACCAGTGTTACCAGCACTTTTTCAGAGAAAAGTCTAAATGGACATAAAATTAAATCTAAAAAGGCTAAATCATAATTTTAGTTATGGCTAAGAAAAATAGCTAAATTAACAAATAAAGTATTAGTGTTTAAGCTAAAAATAATGCATTTTTGCAAAGGCATAACTTGTTTTGTACTTAGGTAAATACTTTTCCTAGCCTCACTGAATCTAGGCTGGTTAAGACAAAGTTTTGATTCCACCTCATTGTCGAGCAGTTTAACAGACATTCGACTGCTTCCTTAATGCTAGACACCTCCGTAAAGCTTCGACTCATCCTTATAGAAAATCACCGGCTTCGTCCTGCAACCACTGCCACCCGTTCGCTCATTCCTAAAGGTGATGTGAGTGTCGAAAGATTTCAAAAAACCAGTCTACCCACGCAGATTTCGGATAAAGTGGAAGGCTTAGAATGGATGTGTTTTTACTAAATCTAGCCGGAAAGTATCAAAAATGGCAACACTGGTTACATGCTTACTCTCTTTCACACTGCAACAATACGACCTCAGACACTCTTTTGTGTGTTGCGCAAACTGCATTGCGCTGAATTGCGCGCTGAATGAGTGAGTGTAACTAGTAAATTCCTTTACAGCTGCTGGTCATTCTGTTTGTCTTTCACAATTTGCGGTACATTCGCAGGATATGTTCAGCACATTCAATTTTTTTGTTTTTAGCTGAGCGAGAAATCAAATATGGCGCTCTTAGTGCTTGCGGCTTTTAGCCAACTATGCTGTTTGGTTTGAGCCAACTTCGCACATTGTTCGTCCTTTGTGTGTGTGCATGCTCTCGCCGCGTGCGTAGTTCGGCCGATAAGGAGCATTTTCGGCTGCCGAGCGCGTGCTGTAACAACACGATGACCTCTTTCTTTTTTCCCCGTTTTACTTCGCAAGTTTCAAGCAATTGTTTCGTATATTTTTTGGTAAGCTCACAGGCTCGCCGTTGCTGCTCGGCTTATTTGACATGCTGAGTATTGTGCTGAGTGTTTCTTGCTGCTGCTGCTGCTGCTGCTGATTGTCATTGCTGAAGTGAGCTATGATTGCAATTGCTATATGCTCGTATGTGTGTGCGCATGTTTGTGTATGTCTGTTGGCGAGTTTTTCTAAAAAGTTATGTTCTTCAAGTGCGTTTACCTCAGTCGTGTTAGGTGCTGCAACCGGTTAAGATGTGCTAAACGGAATGACTAGCGTCGTGTAAAAGTGTAAAAGTGTTCGTCGAGTGTTGCGCTGAGTTGCGTTTGCTTTGCGAATCACTACGAAACGGGTCTATATATCTACTCATTGGTTGGCTATTGTGCTACAGATTTTTTTTTTAGTGTGCTTTTCGCGTACGTATGTGTAATACTTATTACATGCACAGCATTGAAGTGGCGATGGCGAAGGCAAAGGTGCTTTAACAGCTCTGTGTGTGTATATGTACGAAGTTTTTCGGGTGCAAAGATGTGTTTGGCACTAAGCAAAAAAGCACAGCATAGCACTTGCTGATGCTGTTGAAGTGTCTTGGTTGGGCTCATACATAAGTGTGGCTAAAAGTGTATGTGGAAATTTTGTAATTATGATTGTTGCCTTGAATAAGAAGAGCGAGAGTGAAAAAAATACCTATACATATGTATGTATCTCAGTGTAGATGAAAGATGAAAGCAAGCAATCTGTTAGGCCGACTATTGTTGCCTAGAATTTGTGGCAGACACATATATATATGTTGTTGTTGCTTAAGTATTTAAGTGGATTTTTATTGACTACGCGCGCACGCTGACATACACACACACACACCCACACATATCTTCCACTTTATACATATGTATGTAGTATGTCCACTTGAGCTCTAACGCGCACGCACACCTACACAGGCAACCCTACCTATTAAAAAAAAGCCGCGCGCGTATGGATATTGAATGCCTGCAAGCCACACAGAGAAGCTAAAAGAAGAAAATCGAAAAAATCGCAAGCGAAAGATTTTCCGGAAAAAGTTTTAAATTTACGCGAAAAGTTACGCGTTGCAGCATTTAAGCATAAACGTTCGAGAAAAACGGTCGATTAAGTATACGCGTCGTCGCACAACGGTACATATATGTATGTAAGTACAATTGCCTTCAATTAAGTTCGCCTAATGAAGTAAAATTTGCAAAGAAGTTAAAGTAAACGAAAAAAAAAAAAATCGAAATCGAATCGTTTCAAGCGCATGCAGCGTCGCGAATGTCTGCAATTAAGCAATCGAAATGAATTTAAAAATCATTGCGCTGGAAAATTAACGACAGCACAGACAAATTGGCTGCCTGCCACCTGATTGACTGGCTGCGAGCTAGCACACCTGTATACAATTAGTCGTCGGTTGTATGTTTATGAGTGACTGCGTGTATGTGTATGTGTTGACACAAAAGTCAAAAGAGTCAAATATTTGTGCAATTAGTGGCGCAATTAATGCTAAATAAAAAAAAATTATAGACCCAAAGCAATGCCAGCGCTAACAAGCACTTTAAATGCACGTGCCGCCTCGCCTCTTTAAATGAGCGCAGTAAGCGCAGCCAGCAAAGTTTATGGCGTACATACTTATTTAGCAACAAGAGACAAGCGTTAATTATTTAAAAAAAAAATAAAATAAATAAAAATAAACTTGCAAACATAAAAATCAATGCAATCCAATTCGAGTATTAAAAATCAATTAAGCATTAAAACGTAAACAGAAAAGCAACAACATCAAATAAATAAGTAGCACAACAATGTGCGCGATATGAAAGAAGCATGTTCAATTATGCATTCAAGTGGCAAAGGTGCAACCAATAGCAGCGGCGGCGGCGGCAGCGGTAGTAGCTGAGTGGCAGCAGCAGCGTCGAGCAACAGACAACG